ACCGTTTAGGTGCGCAAACCTTTGTAGTTGTAGGGTTTCAGCTCTGCTATCAGCCACAATCATAGTAGCAATCTTTGATGATTTTGAATAGATTTAGGAAAGGGAAGGGTGTGGTAGATCAAATCAAGGTCATCAAAGACTTGTTTTGTTTTATGACTTGAGAAACAGTCTTATTTTCTAGGGACGACATCGAATTCCGAGGTGCTTGCACATTTCTCCATGACAGTGGTGAAGTTATACATTTTGAGGATGCAAGTCTGAGGCAGCTAATTTTTGTGGATCCGCTATGGTTAGCTGACTACCTTGCTGCTGTAGTCGCTCTAAGGTTAGACAATAACTTTTATCTATCCTTTTCTTTCAATCTTTTGCTGAAGAATATTTTCCTCTTCTAGTCTTATGTTCTTTTGTTTCTCAAATGTTCTTTGAAGATCTCCTCATAAAGCTGCTGGGATCATATCGCAAGATGCCCTCAATCCACTGCTAAAACAATTTCGTTCTCTTGACTCAGCCACTCCTCTGCGAGGAGCTCTTCTTCACCTGCTGCAAAAATGCGAACTAGCTTTACCATGCCTTGCTCGCCGCCTTATTGTTCCTGCTCTTTTGCCAGACGAGTACAGGCTTCGAGCTGATTATCACACTGCTTCGGTTCGGGTAAGCTCATCTGATTTCTGAATCTAATTGAATATTGACGTGGAACATTTAAGATAGGTGCAAAAGTGGTATCCTGGACAATTCGTTCATCCCCGGAGCCCATGCCTGCTCACCAACCGTTAACTCGAACAGTCGGAGTTTGGCCGAGGTCTTCAGATATATTTTTCCGTTTGTTTGATTTTTTTTGAGTTTATTTGACTTAGCTCGATCGAACATGCTCCCTTATCTCCACAAAAGTCATTGAATGGAAATATTGGAAATGAGGCAATTTTTACGTTTACTTATTCCCCTGAGAAACAATTACGTCGAGTTTATGCCATGTCTTACATTCCTACTGGCTTTTGGAGTCGCCTTATGACTAGGTAACTGCT